TCTCGCTCTCTCTCTGGAGCCGTTCAAAATATCAAACACAACGAGTCTAAGTCACAAATCGACGTTTAAAACAATCTCTAGACAACAAATCAACATCAACAAACTAGTCTATTACTTTCATCTAAAGTATTCCTAGTTTTTTTGAACAAACACAAATATAAACACATACATATTCAAAATCCAAATTTGCAGCTTTTATATAAACCCAATCTCCAGACAATATACAAAACTAAAATTATATTAACTTATTAAACTCAGAAAACAAACAAGCATATTTTGTTAAAACTGATGTTATTATATATAGCATATAAATACACAAAACTAATATAGATATCAAATATCCAATAGAAGTGTTAAAATAATACTAAACTATTACTTCCCACTTTACTTTTTAATTCATTCAACAAGAAATAAAATAATGATAAAAACAATTGGTAATTTCTCAAGTTACAGATTAAAATACATATATTTAAAAAACACAATTCTATCTTTATATTGTTTACATACAAGACTAATTCCATAAGATATACCAACTACATCTCAAAATAATAACAATTCAACAATACTAACCCCAATCGCATAACAACCAACAAGTAAATTATATTCAAAGTCATACTAACAAGAAATTTGTAAACAAATACCAATCGCACTAAACATAAAAACAACACCCATCGCCTCCTAACAAACATACAAATCAACAACAAACACATCATACACAATTACAAACTGTATGTTATTCACATAAACTCATATATTAAGATACACATATGCATTAATACAAATCGTATCTTTCGATATATCTATCTAAATTAACTCTAAACATTACATGAAATCTGAAAATACTGTGTGATAATAACAGCCAACCATCGACGGTGGCCTATTTCTTGCAAATCTATTATTGTTTGTATGATTGTCAAAACTATGGAAATTGCTGAGCCATTCAATATTTTTGGATTCCCCTGCGCAAGCTGTCGATATTCCCCTCGACTGGCACTTCACGCTCCCCGAATTACAGGCTTGATGCTTCACCAAGAAGCTCAAATACGCGCTTCCTTGAGATAGCATCAGTCTATGCCGCAGCCAATGCGCCCCAAACTTGCACGGACACGCCGCGATGGCCGGGCCACTGCCAGTTTTCATGTCTATGCGCATCTCAGCCGCTTAGCAGGTTGAGCCATTTCAGCACCATAGGTTGGTGATTGGAGAACTTCTTTCGCCAAGGCTCCTGTGCGATCTTGCAGACGTACAACACGTTGCGCCAGCTGCGTCACACCAAAGCGATGCAACACACGGCCTTCCAGAGATGTCTCGCAATTTACGGAAAAGGGAAAGCCGTGCTTTCTTGGCACTGCGATAGCCAAAAGGCCCTGCGCCAGTTCCAAATCATCAGCGCCCAACCTCAGCTGTCATGTCTCTTTTCAAGAAACGGTTGCCCCCCAACCCCGCGCAGCTGAGAAACTTTTTCTGTTGAAGAAGATCTTGGAGAACACGACGGGAAAAAGACAGCCTTCCTGCTTCATTCGACACCTCCTGCAACCGAAACAAAATGCTCTCCGCAATCTGGATGAGCCCAATGTCACCAAAGGCCATCACTGCAGCCAGCGAATCAACGAGACCTTCAGCTACCAACGCTTTGAGCAAGAAATTGCTAGCCAGGCTGATCTTCTTCTTCAGCGCCTTCAATCTGGCGGAGTCATCAGCTGAACTTGTCTGAACATTTTTCAAATCATCCACGCATGTTTTGCACGACACTGCCAGCAGAGCATCATCATCATGGAGCTGGCCCAGCAACTTCCAAATCGTCCGATAAAATGTTGCATTGCGACCGGCGAAGAAAGGCGTGTCGAATCCGCCAAAGAATTGGCCGAAGCTTAGGCTGAAGGAACCAAATTTGGTCAAAGCTTTGATGCCGGCCTGCGTGACAATACGCGGATGAGTTTGCTATCTCACCACCTCCAAACCCATGCAAAAGGGCAATAAACACTTGAGCGTTGGCTTTTACTCCCTACAAACTTGCTTGGACATTATTTCAGCTTCCGCGGACCCTTCCGCATCCTTGCCGCGGGCCAAGAGGTCCCTTCCGCGAACTTCCGCGGCACATGTGTTTCATTGTTTGCTTCCGCAAACCTTCCGCGGGGCATGGTTTACAAGATTTGCTTCCGTGAGCATTGGCGCAGAAATGAAAGTCATTTTAAGTGAGGTAGTATTCCGCCGCAGCTTGTGTAGGCTTGGGCTCCATTGGGCTACCCATGCTACGTGGCCACTTGCCTGCAAACTCGGGGCCACCCTTCCGCGGAGCTTCCGCGAAGCTTCCGCAAACCTTCCGCGAAATGCGCCGGCTGTTTTGGCCTTCTTGGCTTGCTGTTGGCATCTGCTCTTCGAGTAAGTGTTGCGTTTCTTGTACGCAGCAACACCTTTTCTTCTACTGGAATCGTTTCTCCGAGCTTTTCCATGCACGCACTGAAACATTTAGTTGTAAATCAGCCACAATGCTTCCGCAAACCTTCCTTTGAAAAAGTCCCTTCCGCGAGCCTTCCGCATGCTTTCGCGCGTGTGGCGCGGCGCACATGTTCAATAACAATGTCCCTCTCCCCACTAAATTAGCTTGCGGCTAAAAAACCGCCGCTCACTTGATTTGACCAAGGGACAACCCACGGAACACCTCTCTGAAATGCACTGGAAAACTTGTTTACAACACAAACTTCGACCAAACCATCTTCAATCTTTCGCCAGCCTCCGATGCCCCAAGCTTGGAAGCGATCTCAGAAAGCGACGGATCCTTCGCCAAAGTGCCAAGCACAGACAGCACCGAGCCGTGGCACTTCTCAGCGTTTTGCGAGCCTAAACCAGGGAGGAAGAATCGCAGGGGGGACCAAAAGACAAGCTCCATCCATACTCCAGACCATTAAAACAAGTGTAAGTAACATTGCGTGGCGTGCTTTTGCTGCGAGCCTATGTCTTGGACCTGCTTCGCAAAGGTGTATACCTTCCTGGCAAAATCCAAAGGTCAGCGTACCCCCAATAAGAAGAGTCTTGTGGAGCATTTGCCCAATTCTGCCAAGCGTCTCTGCTTCAGGGTCAACCTGCCAGCCATGATTACAACTTGCCAAAATCAAAAAAATGCTCGAGTTCATATAGCCGATTTAAAGCCCTCCGCAAGAATCTGGACATGCCCCCAGGTTTGTTTTTTCGCGAACACATTGGCTCAAACACATGTACCACGCATATGTCTGTCCCCGCCTTTTGAAGCTGTTCGAGGACCGCCAAAGCTTGTTGCTGGTCTGACTTCTCGCCATTTTGGAGCACCTCAGGGCAGCGGGTCATGAACGGATTTGTGGGTCTTTTAACGAGCATAAGAAAATGCGACCAAAAGCGCCGAAACGAGTCCGAGAATGTTAAAATGATGATTAGAAAGCCCCGCGCAACGCAAACGTAGCGCTGGTAGCAAGCCGCCTTCTTCATCGCAGCTGTTGCTTCGCCCCTGGAAAGTGAAGCCAATGTGCCCATATGTCCGGCGGCCGCCTTGCTTTGCAATCTCGATAGAGACGAGCGCTCTACGCCGCCAAGCGCTTGACCTGCAAATGGGGGGAAGTGCTTGGCAAACGCTTGTTTTTGGCATATTGAGCCAGCGCATGTTGGACCTGCTTGAACAGAAAATAAGGACGGGTCCCACAAGGACCGCGGAATCGACTCGCTGCTTGTCCTCAACACATGAATCCCACTTTGGGCTTTCGTCAGTGCCATTATTCTGGCATCGACAGTTGCCCCTGAACAATGTGAGGAGTGTTAAGCGCTGTCTTTTAGGGATCCGTGCTAAATCGGATTCAACAAGGGTCAAGCCATTCAATGTTGATCTAGGATTAATTTTCCCGTGTTATTAAACAAGTCCAGGACCCCCGAACACTAAACAATGGCAAAGAAACTGGAGCTCGCGAAAATAAGCCCTTTTTCCACAACAACGGCGTGCTATTAGACAGGTCCGCGCAGCCCACCTAACAAATCCGGAGCACCCACCCTCAAAAAAATCAAGCCCCCACCAACCAGCCAACACAAACATCAGTCCGAACTCCAAAAAGTTGGGCTTTCTGACAGTGCAACTTCAGAAAGTGATTGAGAAGGTCACGAGGTGCAGAGTTCCATGGTATTGATTGGGGCCATCTGGGCTCCCAGCAACACTAAATCAAATTGAAACGTGAAATCCCACAATACTATGAAGTGGATACTCACACCAAGTTCGAGAGGAACTCCTAGCAAGACTAAATCAAATGAAAACTCAATTCCAACAATACTAAATCAAAAATGGAAGATCAAGCCAACTTCAAAACAAAGATGGAGCTCTGGAATCCTCATTCCCAAAAGTGGGATAGTATTGCCCAATACGAAAACTTGTTTCCGTGCCAGGGCCCAAAAAACCTTCTGGACCTTCTCGTGGCAGGTGGGGGGTGCACATAATCCAATGTCAACGTTGCACAGGTCACTCCTAAAGATAAAGAGCATGATAACTTCCGCACATCAAGCCGCCTGGAGGGATAATCTTCAGCAGCATCAAGTCGGTGTGAACTTCAGATCGCGCCGCCTGCGACGCGACAACGACGCACGGCTTCCAAAACCTGGCTTGTTCTGCCCTCGCTTGAACACTTGCCATTCAAATATCAAGCTTTGTTTCTGGCAAGAAAGCCTGGTGCTATTCAGGACCTATATGGGCAAACCTCGTTTATTGTCAGGGGATTGGACGTACCCTTTCTCCCACAACACACGGCAATTTGGAGAATCGCCTGCGCAAGCCATTATCCAGGCCAAACATGGGGCGAAAGAACCCACAGCAGGCCACCCCGTTTCGAGTTTGCCATTTGGACGAAACCGTGTGTTCATTATCCTTTTTGTCGCGCCCTATAGCAGAGCCTGGTGCGCAGCTCGAGAACTGTTGCTTGCTGTAGGGGCGACTGCTGCATGGACTGCTCCATGCTGTGGCGTCGGCACCCGACGCACTTCCAAACGTTCCAAATGAATCCTGGCACAAGGCTGATGCAAATGGCCAAGCGCTGTAGCTAACTGCCATGGAATCAGCTTCAAAGCACAGTGTCGTGGGGAACACCCTGTACAGGAGTACGATAGATTGTTGCAAAAAAAAGCTTCGAGGGAAGAGCCCTTCTCCAGCCAAGTTCTGCAGGTCCTGCTCATCAAATGCTTTTCGATTGCTTTCCGACTGGAGGCTTGGCCAACAGCTCGTGGCCGGGCTTCCGGTCGTTCCCTGACCACTTGCCCCCAAGGCTGACAACTTACATCCCCAAAGTACATCGACATCGCCTTGGCTCCAAAAGCACTGGTAACCAAGACAGGAGACAGCGCAACTATTGCTGAGTTGGCCTTCAACCGAAGCAACTGATGAACATTTTGTTTCTTTCACTGGTTTGAGTCTGAGTCCGCCATGTGACTTCCAAGAGCTGCCCGTCTCTGTTTGCAAAGTCAACCGTGATGGGGCGGATCTTCCCTGCCCTTTTGCTGCAGTGCCTCAAGAGAACTTGGGTGGCTAATGTGCTCGCGTCAATCTTGCGGAAGACATACAGGCAGGTAACAGCAGGATTGTCGTAGCCGGTCTCGAACTTGTGCGCCACAAACAATAGCCTTGCCTTCTTTGCGTCGGAAGCTGATTTCAAGAAGAAGCCATTGAGATGCTTCTCCGTCTCCCCGTCAACGTGGGAGGAGAAAGCGCCCAAGATCTCGGACTCGGTCATGCCCAAATCCACCCTCTCCCTTGCCACCTGATCAAAAACGGTCCGTGCGATGAACATGCGAAGATGTTTCCATCTCTTTTTTTGGAGAATCTAGCCAGGCAGAAATTCCGAAGCGCGGTTTGCCTGTGGCCCGCCTGTCTTGCCAACTTCGTTGCGCGCAACACCTCCTCTCTGCTACAGCATAAAACGATGGCTTGTGCCCGGTAGCTCAATGACCTGGGCAAGACTTGTGGTCAACGCACACTCACAGAAAGCCCCTCCAAGAACATGGTCCAGGTTCCTCCCGCATATGCTATCTGATGGGCGGGTATCAAAAGCGTTTACTTGAAGAGTCTCAAACAAAGCGCAAGGTCCTTTAACAAGAAAGGCTCAGTGAGACCAACAACACGCCTCGATTTCGTTTGGTCGACAAATCTTGAGGTGGCTCAAGCACGCAAAATCAACGCTCAACAGGGCGCCCGCAAGTGCTCGAAAAGTGCTCTAGCACCAGCCGCGTGCGGGATTGCAGAACATGATGCTCCGAGGAAGATGACATCAGCAGCTGAAGGCGAGACTTTTCCTCGCGAACTTGAAGGTACTGATCGAAAAGAGTACCCTTTGTCCATTTGCTGATGAGTATTACATGTCGACGCCTGAGGACCTCCAGCCTTTGGGCGCAAGCTCAAATGAAATGAAACCCTCGCCAGTGGCCAAAAGCAACGCGCAAACCACACAAAAATCAATATCGTGATGTACCACAATCGTGCTTTCTTTTGGCATAGACCCAGAATAAAGGCACACCTGCTTAGCTGATGGACATCAACTTTCTGACCAACATGACAAAAGAAACGTGCTTGAGGATAGCGCCGGACAATGGGAATACAAGAGCAAAAGACTGACACTTGCTCGCCAAAGCCTCTCTCTCAGAGATACAGGAATCGTCTAAGCCACCAATGATAGAGTCCACCTCGTTATACTCAATGCGCGGATCCATGACCAGGCCCTCAGACACAGCTTGCCCCAAGTGATAGGTGTGGAAGGGGCGCCGCTGCCCGTCCAAGCAGAGGGTCCCAAACCTCTCCAGAGCTTGCAAGTTTGGTGTGCCTGGCACAGAAGATGATGGTCCGGAGGGGTTGATTCAAAGGGCACAGCAAAACAACTCATTTTTGGGTACCCCTATTTTGACACAAACCCATATTTCCACATCGGCGCACTGAATGCCAGATTCTAATCTCCACACTCGCCACAAGGAAGCCACTGGCAGCCCCAAGCTGAAGGTTGCTGCGCCGCCCATAAATGGCAGCGTTTTGGTAGCTGACAACTGCCACTCTTCAGTCGCCAATGAACGGGTGCATTATCTTGAAGGGCTGCTGATGCTTGCAGTCCATTCCTAAAACACGACCTACACGGCGCAGCCGCCACATAGATTATTCATTACAGGCAACCCACTCGAAAGCCCATGGCCTGTGAGAGCCACGAAGTGAGAGGCTCCCAGGACGCGGTCCATGGCCTGCGTTCCCCACGCCCACGACTTTATCACAGCCCTTCTTATCCGCCCCTCTGTTTTGTATAGCCTGTGTGATGACATTGGATTTAGGTTCTTAAGGAAATGAACCACTTTCCGCAGCAAACTGTTGAAGTGGGAATTTCTTACTTTCGTGGTGTCGCAGAAATGGGCCAAAACCCAACGGCAACTCGCTGAAACCACGCCTGCGTCAAGGAGCCCCACTCTGAGTGACTGCGATGCACCTCATCGGGCATCACCAGTGTCCTGGCAGCTCGGGGTTCCAGAGCCACCGGCGAGGGAACAAACTCCTTGTTACTCCCGCATGAAGACTGTCTGCTCATGTCCAACAGCGCAAACCCAAGCCAAACAAATGAGCCCGGCAAGCGAAGCATTGTCCGAGCAACCGGCAACGTTTTTGCAAACAAGTTGCGCGCAAGCTTGCTGGCTCATAATTGCAATCAGATTTCCTCCTGATCCCCTTTAGGCCCTGAAACGAACCCAAGCATCAAAGATGCTGTTGGGAAAAGAAGCTAAATGCACAAGCGCGCTTCCCCGATTGCTGGAGCTGTGCAGATATTTGGGCGTGGGCTAAGCCCGATCATGGCTTGACTTTCACTCTGAAAGAAAGGCAGGGGTTTAACACCAAACTGGGTGATGTTTGGCGAGAAAATCCATTCAACCGCCCCGCGCAGGATAAACCCAAGCCCCGGTCCTTGCAGCCAAAGCCTCGCTTGCGCGGATAAGAGCCAACTCCTCACAAGGACTTCGCTGATGGCTCAGGAAGGGAGCAAAATTAATCCCTTCCTGCACATCAACTTGCACACCAAACAACGGGGTTAGCGTGGAACCAACTCAGGTTTAAGGTCGGTTTGTCATATTGTTGGGTCTTTACCCACCCCTGCTGTGAACAATGGAACCAGTCACCGGGGTCCTCTTTAGCGAAATGGGTCTAGGTGGGGCTTGGGTTTTTGCTTTAGCAAAGGAGACCCGGAAACAGTCACGGAGGCGCTTCCTCTGGAGGCCCCACTGAACAAAGTTCACAGAGCCACTTCGGAAATTACTTTCATGTTGGCCAATATACGCACACCGTGACACAGGTCCTGGGTGTTGAGCTTCTGGAAGGTGGTGAGCAAGATGGTGGGGCGATCATTTTGCCCGGCAACACCTGCGCATGTCTTCAGCCTTTCTGTGCGCTGAGTGGTCATTCCCGAAACCAAGAATTGACACTCTAACAACAAAAGACACGCGCTCTTCCAGACCCGTGCCAGTCCACGTTTCAAGAAAGAACGGTGCCCAGTGAACTGTCCACCTGCCTCTCTCGCAGCCGGCCAGGACCGCCCGTAGCTCTTGGGACGTCTCAGCTTGGACCACGTCTGCCTCCAGCGCCCACGGATTGCCAGCAGCACGGAGCCTCCGAAGGAAAATGTCCACGGCCTCCTCAAAACGGCCGTCGAACTCAACGGGCTCAAACCTCCAAATGGAGAAGCGCCCTATGCTTTTCATGCTTCTTCACAAGGTGTTAGTTAATTGCCAAACCTCGAATGTTTAGAAGAGGGTCACCATCGTAGTGCTCATGATTGCCACACACGGGGGTCTGTGCAGGTAGGCTTTTGAGTGTCTGGGTCAAAACTGGGATGCTTCTCCTGTGTGTGTTCTGCCCGCTCACTCGGGGTGAGCTTGACCCAGTAGGGAAACCTCAGGGTGATTTTGATTCACTAGGTAAACATCTCTGCAAGGAAGCTTCGAAGCTCTGTGTGTCGAGGAACTCCCGGTCATTGACAATGACCACAAGGGAGAAACGAAGTTCTTTACCTCAAGCACAGGCAACAAGCTGCTTGCTATGGGCAAGAGCTCCAAGTCATCGGAGCACATGATGTGCTTCGTGCCGCGCTGGCAAACATTTCGTCCAATGTTGCTAGTGCTGGGGGTGTGGGGCTCCAGGAAGCCCAGTGAGTTTGAAACAAAAACCCTTTGTGATGCCAAAAGATTCCAAGGCACGTAGCATCAGCAGCCAGTATGCCAAGGCCGCTTGCACGAAAGTCTTGCCGGTTCTAGGCGCGTAGTAGTGCAAGAACCGCTTCTGGTTTCCAGCAACCAGCGCCTTCAACACTTTCTGAATTCCCTCCACCTGGCAGGCTCTAGTCATGCCTACTGCAGTCGCCACTCTAACCTTTTGGATTCAGCGCCAAACAACCTCCCCTTCAAGCATCGAGATGGATGTGGGTTCAGACCTGCGCCTCTGTACTATCGGGAAAAAACACTAAGCCAAGGCAAAAACCGAACGGATGAAGCAAAATACGCAAACAGTGGCTTCAAGTGCCAGGATGGAGAAAACCACCCTAGTTGCGAACTTTGATAAATCCCTCAGGGCACCAGGGTAACCAAGATGTTTCTCACCTGGTGAGGGTAGGGTGCTTTGCCAGCAAGGCCCAGCTCATAGACGCGTGTAATCCTGTGCTTGGTGGCCCAGGCAACGTCGTGCATGGCGTCGCTCGAAAAGGAATGCAAACAAACAAAGAGTGGTCATCCCTTGATTTGAAGCTACTGGTTATGGCTCTTCGGATTTCAAGAGATCATATTGCGCAATGGAAACGCATTCTGCTAAACACAGAATGACCTGTTCTGTCCTGATCCAGGTGCATGTGTTCAAATGACCTGTCGACTCCTGACTGAAAATCAAAATGGCTGCTACGCCTTTTGCACTGGGCTTTGCATACAGAACGTGTCATAATCTCTCATCTACCACAAAATGCTGCGGACGAAGATTGACAGCGCAGCTCAAAGGTGCTAACGATGCATCAAACAAATATGGCCTGCTATTTATGCCCATTCCAACCCAAACCTGGGCACAGTGACGCGAAGAAGCCGCACTTTTGTTTCCGTGAGGCTCCCAACCTATTTAAGCTCAAACGTGGCTGGGTCCTGGGTTTTGTGGCTACAACCCGAAGTGGCAATTATGTTGCTAACCACGTGCGAGCATTCTTCATGCTGAAACATGGGGTCAATTGTCTTTCCTTTCTGCGCCTTCAACAAAGCCCTCTGAAAGAAACAAATACAACACCGGAGCAAGTTGTCTAAACCATCTAAATATCAGCAGTCTGCCGTGGTAGCCGTTCTAGGATGATGAAATACAAGAACTTGTTATATGATTCCGTATGCAAGCTTATGCATCAAAGCCCGTACGTGGACATACCTCGCAGATGGCTGGGCAATGACAAGGAGGTAGCTATGCGGCATTATGCGGCATGAAACGCGCTTCAACCCATGCAACACGGGTCAAATCAAAATAGATCAAACACGCTCACAAACCACACAATATAGGCTGCGACATACCAGTAGCAAGAGCCATACAATTTGAAATACATTCATATATATATATATATGATTTATATACCAAACGTATGGCAATTGAACCGTACAAATGTTCAATCAATTCAATCAGCTAATCATAATAGGATTTCTGAAACAAATAAAAACAACGCAATGCATATTCTGAGTATATAAAACATGTTCTTAATAAATCGTATATAGCTTCACAGCTTATTCTGTAGTTGTGTATATACAGTCGTTTTGTGACGGCTAAGTAAAAAGAAGGTCGGTTATACAGTAACAATTGCGATTTCAAATCATGATAATCAAGAGGCTAAATTGTGTGTAAATATACCATACATGCATGCTTAATACTGTTTACCTTTCTCAAGTTCAACAATGTAAAACCGTATCCAACACACGATTTCATAACATAACCATATCTATGTTTAAGACACAGACAAGCAAAAAATACATTTATTATACACATCAATATATATCCGCCGACATTGCTCGGCGTGTCGGATACCAAAGAGAGGACTATTGGATACCTAAGAGAGGATAGAGGATAACCCCCTCCTTAGTCCCCCCCCGGGACACGTCAAATACGCATGGTTTTCGGTCGTCCCCCACCCCCCCCCCCCCCCCTCCCCCCCCCCCCTCCCCCCCCCCCCCCCCCTCCTACCGCGCGGCAATTTGATGACGTTCCACTAAACGTAGTCTTCGGGGAGCCGGTGTCGCAAAACAGGGGTCCCAGGCTCGATTCCCCCTGCCGGCTTTTTTGCTGGCTTGGGCTTCCTACATCCTTTTGCCGAAAATCTGGAAAACTCCATGTTTTTGGACGTCTTTCATACATTCATCCATTGCATTCATTTCATACATTACATACATTACATACATACATACATTACATACATACATACATACATACATACATACATACATACATACATACATACATACATACATACATACATACATACATACATACATACATACATACATACATACATACATACATACATTACATACATACATACATACATACATACATACATACATACATACATACATACATACATACATACATACATACATACATACATACATACATACATACATACATACATACATACATACATACATACATACATACATACATACATACATACATACATACATACATACATACATACATACATACATACATACATACATACATACATACATACATACATACATACATACATACATACATACATACATACATACATACATACATACATACATACATACATACATACATACATACATACATACATACATACATACATACATACATACATACATACATACATACATACATACATACATACATACATACATACATACATACATACATACATACATACATACATACATACATACATACATACATACATACATACATACATACATACATACATACATACATACATACATACATACATACATACATACATACATACATACATACATACATACATACATACATACATACATACATACATACATACATACATACATACATACATACATACATACATACATACATACATACATACATACATACATACATACATACATACATACATACATACATACATACATACATACATACATACATACATACATACATACATACATACATACATACATACATACATACATACATACATACATACATACATACATACATACATACATACATACATACATACATACATACATACATACATACATACATACATACATTACATACATACATACATACATACATACATACATTACACATTACATTACATACACATTACATACATACATACATACATTACATACATACATACATACATACATACACATACACACATACATACATACATACATACATACATACATACATACATACATACATACATACATACATACAGACAGACAGACAGACAGACAGACAGACAGACAGACAGACAGACAGACAGACAGACAGACAGACAGACAGACAGACAGACAGACAGACAGACAGACAGACAGACAGACAGACAGACAGACAGACACATATATATATATATGCATACATACATACCAGAGAGGGAGACTGGGCATGGAGAGGCTTGGGGGGATGGGGAGGATGGGGAGCAGAGGGAGGGAGAGAGGACGACAGAACACACAATGGAGACAAGGGAGAGAGGCAGAAGGAGAAAAGGGAGAGGACAATGTCGGCGGACTGAGCCGGAGGCTCTAAAGTATATATATACATATGTATACACATATATATATATATATATCAATAATAAGCGGTCACACGTTCGATCGAATATTCAAACAAATTGATATTTGTCGTGTTCCAACACATGTAAGCATAATTTCAAGCTATAGTGCGTTATAGACGTAGATTGAATTTGAAGATGCAATGGTTTCTTCGATGCCGTGACTGTGTTCCCCCGAAGATCTAATTGGATGTCGGTCCAGGCCTGGCAGATGGCCAAAAAGGCATGGCCTTCAAGTGAGAATATGGGAAACTTGGACATTTGGGGAACTTTACCCTGGGAAACTAGGAAAAAAAACATCAATCCAGCAAAAACCAAGGGTTCAAATGCCTAAACCAATGCAAACCACCAATTAAGGGTTGCCTCAACTTAGGAAAATAGCAAACTGGTGAAGCAAGGAAACACCTTGTTTTGGACACACAGCACGTAGGCAAGATTCCCTTCTTGAGCAATTGATGCTGCATATTGTCGTGTTCGCCGCACCGGTCTACAGCAGGAGGGGTTGGCAATCAATGGCTTGAACTCAGACTCATTGGTGTCTGATGAGACTTTGTTACAGCCCAGATCCAACATAAACTCAAATCCTGCGCTCTTGAACCGCGGAAGTTGCAGCATCTTCTCCTCTGCACCCTTTGGCGTCCATGACACATGGTGCTGGAGTCATGGATGAGTCTCGCAACCGTAATGGCACGAAACAAATCCTTGGGTCATGTTCCCGGATCTAGCCGCATCACATGGTGGTCCTTTTGGTGTCAGGCATGAGGTGGGCCCTGAAAATTTCCGCATATCCAGGTACTGCAAGAGGCCCAACAATTTCGAATGGGAGTTTGGGGTATTGCAAGACTCCATTTAGTCCTGATTCACTCACTATGGGAAAAAGATAGGATCAATTCGGAGCAACCTATCCGTACTTTTTCAGCCCACTGGCCCATGGCCACGAGACCAGCCCGCCTCATAGGCTGGGCCACTTGCTCCAGCGCAACGCCCCCAGCGGCAGCTTCCGCCACCTATCGCGCATGGCTGTCGCATGGGCGCATGACTCACTTCCGATCGAATAAATCGGCCAGAAAACGTCTGAACTTTTCGTTTACCACAATGGTCCAAACCCGAAAAGTTGTGCAAGTGCAGAAACGCGGGAACTGAGATGACCTCGTCCTTCGACAAGAAAACCAAGGTACCGACTTGAATGAGACAGGTTCGTCCTTTTAGCATCTTGGCCCAAGACATTTTCAAGGTTTGTGTTCATCGCGGAGCCGTTTGGAATGGAACCTCCAGAGGTGCTAGTTGCTCTGATGGGCTTTTGAGACAAAACGGGGAAGGATCCGTGGAACACCAACGTGCACTGCATCATTCACCAACATCCTTGTGGTTGCGCGCATGTAGAATCTTCGTTGCAGGCCTTCCCTTCCCATAGTGTTGCAAACTTTGCTAACCTCACCCCAGTCGAGGTCATCAGTTGCTTCGTCCAAAACATAAACCAACAAACAATGAATCAAACAAGCGGACACGAATCGGGACAACCACAACCAGAAACAATCACAAACATACACACACACACACATTAATCATAAAGAGCCAAATTCACAGCATCACGAACACAAACACAACATGCTGAAACCCAAGCTCCAACACAAGCACAAGCACAAAACACAAACAAACAAGCCCAGAAACAATCAAAGAAACAAACATGAAATAAATCAATAATCAAATAAATCAATAAATAAATAAATAAATAAATAAGTAAAAAGGAAAAACACATAAAATAAGGACAAACCTTTTTGTTTAAAGCAGAAACACAACAAAGAACTAAACAAGCAAGCAAACAAGCAAACAAACAAGCAATCAAGCAAGAGGGCAACAACACACAAACACGTGTCCACAATTTATTGTCTCGGATGGCCTTGTGCGCCAAACATGTGCAAACTATGACAAACAGTTCATCAAATGTTTAGCACTGAATTAAACATCTTGCCACATCTTTAGGGGCAATCTCTCAGTTCCTTGTGAGGGAACCCTGTTTTGGCTTCCAACCAAAACCCTTTAAGAAGCTCGCTTTTTCATTGTATACACATGTTGCCCCGGGTATATCATAGTGCCTCACCCATGGTCTACCGGAGACTTGGCCACTTGGTGTCTGAGATTTTGCAGCCCAAGTCCAGCCACTATCCAGCATAAGCTTCATGGCATAAGCAACTGTCATGGAGTCATATGCACGACCCCAGGATTTATGACGACCTTCAGTAGCCATGGTTAGCACAATATTTTTTGGGGCTTACTATCACATGCTTTTGGTTGTTGGTTTTTTTTGGTTTTTTGGTGTTCTTTCTTTTTTTTCTTAAGAGGCGATCTGCCAAAGCTCGCTCGCTTCCCCCGAAACCCGTGCAACGGCGTGCCTTCTGGCTGGCGCTGGAGGGGCAGCACACCCACCACGCTTCTTTCGGAGCCTAAGGAACGAGCTTGGCCAATCGCGCGGCAGTCTGTCTGACTTCCATTTGGCTAAGACTCCTGGAAAATAAAATGTCCAGGAGTGATAGATTCGGAAAAATAAACCAACAGTGGAAAATAAACCATATTCTTGAGCAAGTGGAAGCTTATCTTTAGAAAGGAAAGGAAAAGGCTGATCATCTGTATCTTGTTTGTGTTTATCTTGAGAAAGGCGTGGAAAAAGACAATCGCAACTGAACTATAGCGACTGAGGTCTCCGCGGAAGTGGCCTTGGGGTCAAGTTGGGACGACTCCTCTGCATCCATGACTTCTTCCAGGATGTGAATCCTGGCAAGACACCCCGAGTGCTACTTGACTCTAGAGTCCCAGCAATGCCCGAATGTGTTTTTGGGTCGCAAGAAAACAGAACAGCTGTTGCAAAGGGGGCACCAACTGTCTCATTCCTTGGATTCAAAACCTTTGAACCAACTCAATAGCTTTTGCAGTGCCATCGTTCACCTACTGAAATGGAATCACTGGGCCTGCTTCCCCACTCACTCTGCGGTCCAATGGTTCACCATGCTGATCGCGTCACATACGAATCGCGCCATAGACCCGTTGCAAAGCGGAGAAAGCAACTTGACAAGTCTGATCCCTCGGCGACTGGGCCTACCAAAACCCTTGCAACCACAGATACATGAAGCAAGTCCACGTGAACTTCGAGTACACAGGCGGCGCAAATGGACCAACAAAACCACAACAGCTATCGCAGTTGAGCTGTCCTTTCCAAGTTGTTTCCTCTAGATCCCATCTCACTTTAAATTTCGGAAGCGAGCCGGGCACACTGTCCAACTTGAACAGGTAGGAAGATGTTGCCGCTGATGCAAAGCCACTCACCGTCCATGAGCTGCCAGGGTCAACTTTCCGATGCAATGTCCGTGCCTCAATATTTGCCCCCTACATTCTCCTGCCTTTTGTGCGCCATGAAGGCCCCCCGGGTATCAAGCTTTCGGTAGGTCTCATCTCAGGGGTGAAGGGCTTAATAATTTATATTTTTATATAATATTGTATCTATGTGCTAGGAGGGCAAAGAGCAGCCAAGGCAACACTTCGTTGTTTCCCTCGCTAGCTCAATGTTAGCAATGCGGTCATTGCAAGAGACCCTGGGCGTACTTCGATTGGCGGATGAAGGCCGCTAAGATTTTGTTACCTGTACCATCAGAGATTGGAATTCCCGCAGCACCGCACATGGATTCAGAGGGCATTGCAGCATGCACTTCACTTCATTGCCGAAGGTTCCAAAGATTGTCTTCCTTGAGCTCGCCTTGAAACGCCTTGAAGCCAGAAATCATTGCAACCAGTTGTCAGAGGCCTCAAGTCAATGTCTAAAGTGCGGCTTGAATTTAAAGGCCGAGTTAAGCAAATGGTGCTTCCTTGATTTCATTGAAACACTTGATATTGAATTAAAACACGATACACTTGTTGCAACACTACTCATCTGTTTGCCTGCGGTTGAATGCGAAAGGCATCCCGGCTCTTTGGCAACTGGAAACATATGCTTCCGCTAGAAAGACAGATACACAGATAGATAGATAGATAGATAGATAGATAGATAGATGGATGGATGGATGGATGGATGGATGGATAGATAAATATATAGATAGACCGACATATAGATAGATAGAAATACATATATACATAGATACATATAGAAGAAGTATAAATCTACAGGGAAAGCGAGAGCTTGATGGCTTTTTTGGATAGATCGATTGATCGAACAATAGCTGGATAAATCGATAGATAGATAGATGATAGCTGGATAGATAGATAGTAAGATAGATAAAGATCGATCCATAGACGTACAAACATATATTCATATAGATAGGTAGGCTGATAGACATATAGATAGATTGATAGATGGACATAGATGGATAGATCGGTTGATACTTTACTGGCATGAAATTAACAAGATCATCTAATTTTAAGAGTCGCAGAACTGAGCATCCAATCGCGAGGTTGATGCCTGTCCCCTGTCCATGGCTTTTTTTCTGGTGTCTCACGCACAGGCCGTAAACTCGCCTCGGCCCGAGGGTCGGGAAGCGGTCAACCCCCCTCGCGCACCCCCACCCTCAAGCCCCACCCCCCAAACCCATGTCTCATTTAAATGTCCCTCAGCAACCAGTCAAATTCCCCCCGAAAAACTGGTCCGGCCCCCTAAAAACCGGTCAAATTCCCCCTAAAACCGGACCAATTCTACGCCCAAATTCCCCTAGAACCGGACAAATTATACAGTCAAATTCCCCCTAGAACCGGTCAAATCAAACCTGGCAACCAGTCAAATCTACCTTCCCCTCTCAAACCAGCACAACACTTCAAACCAAAACACAGTACCTCAAAAGCAGCCAAAGGCATACTGCCCGCAGACAACGCTGAGCGTTTACAATTAAGTCAGCCCGACTGCCCGAGATACTGCATATTGGCAAATTCTACACGTCCATAACTCAGAATTCGATCCCCGTGTAAAGTACCTACATCCGGATCGATGAGCTCGAAACCCATGGAATAGTACGTCTGATGCCAACCTGTCCCACCACGATGGCACCGTTCTCTGCATAGCGGCTGTATCTTTCCTGACAAGCCCCCAAACCTCCAGATTCTCATAGGAGGAAATAGCATCCTCTTTTCTCGGCAGTTGATTTGAAGGGGAGCCCTTTCCATCAAGGAAACAAGGGAACCGTTGGAGTTCTGGGGATTTATGTGTGCGATACCTCACCCCCAAACAGGAGCTGATCAAATAGCTTCCCAGACTTCGCAAATCCCACCCAATGTTCTCCTCCAAGTGCTTCGATCGCCTGCCGCCCGGGTGAGGAATGACACAGCAATTTGTTTCCATGGTGCAAAGTCCGATATCTGCGAAAGGTTGGTCACCACACCTCAAAACCGAGAGTAAGCGCCTGATTCGGATGTCTTTGGCTCAGAAGCGCCAGTCCACTTATCTCTTGCGCTTTGTGAAGGAGCTGAAGTGTCTATTGATTGATTGAATGTCACAACTACTTAATATCCTGCAGATTCTGACGTTGCACCACAAGCCCAAAATGAAGGCTTGCCGAGAAACCCGGACGCACTCATTGCAGTCTGCCAGAAGCACTGAGTAAATCCAACCAATTGTCAGCCCTTACATCATACCGAACATGTGATTCCCTGAAATCCCGCCGTCAGCATGGCGCGTGTTGTTGAGCGGACGGCCTGTATTGCACGCCAGGATAGGGCTTCGGAACGGTCACCTGGCAACTTGGCGTGTGCTTTCCCGATTTGTGCGTAAGCCTCCGGGAAATTCTGGAGTTTGCCTGTCGGGACAAGCGGTCACTGACCTTCATGACCCAGGTCAAAGTGCTTTGTGATACATCTGAGGCCAATGGCCCCAACGTTTGCTCCAAGGTGCACCGGACGACTTATGGATGGTTTCGTGGTTTAGGCTTAAAGGGGTAGCTTCCCCACGTGCGGACTCAAAAGGAGCTGGGCTCAAATCCCACCACATGCCCCTCGAGTTGCCTTGGGCGGATTCTCTCTTTGGCCCTTGAAGCTGACTGACTGGAGGAAAACGACCGGGGCTTTCCGCGTTTCCAGGCTCAAGGGGCCGGCCTAAAGAACACCTTACGTCAACAAACCAACAACTGCCTACGGCCAACAAGCCTCTGAACAACTTTCACACAGCAAGTGGCAGCAGTCTCACCCAACTTTGGTTTGAACCACGCTGAACCGCCTGTAAAGGGCTGTTGACAGCTCGGCGTGGTCCTCTTCCTGGATCTTTTGCTGTTCGCCCATGTAAATCCCTCAACACTCAAATCAAAATGGGCCACATGGCAGTTCTTTGTTTGTGGCTTCGACAATGGGGGAGTAAAATGGGCCTCAATTGTTGAGGCCACTCACACCACAAATCAAAATGGCCTCTTCTTTCTGGCTTCAGGGGAGTGCATTGTTCTTTGTTTGTGGTGCTCCCCCCCCGAGGCGGCTGGAGCATTGGCCCACGCCTTGAACTTGGAAGCATTCGCGACCACCTGAATGACACTCGTGGCAAACTGAACATGAGGGTGAAGTACATGGGTCCGGTTAAGCAACTTTGCTTACAGATTCCTCAAGTTGGACCCCTGGACAGAAAAACAACAAATCCGAAAGTCTCAGGGCCCCTTTTGCCGATAGATCCCATGGATCATCCTCCAGCAAGCTGAAAGGACTGTTTTGAGCAGACCATACCTAGTGATCCTGACCATTCACCAACCATTCCCACAGCAAAAGTTCCATCCGAGGATTCGCCAACCTTCCGAACATCCCAGATTCTTCACAACCAAAGGCCCTGTTTGGGGATCGCTGAGTCTGGGGCAGGCAGATGATGAATCTTCTGCGTGAGCTCACTGCTCACATCTCCCAGCACATCCTGCTTCAGCTTCTGCCACACCTAGGCCCCAGGCCAGCAACCCCGAAGGAATACCCTTTGAGGAGTCGGCTTACAAAGCCTTTGGTAAAGGAAACAACCAGCTGCAAAAGTGGCTTCCCAGGCACTCTGAGTGCCATGTCGCGGACATTCCTGCTGAATTGGCAGATCATTCTGCCTCATAGGTGGGTGCTGATGAATACAAGGTGCCGAAGACCCACGCTAACACCAAGGGACGCATCATTGTCTTGGAGGATTGAAGGACAAGCCGAAAATTCAAGCAAAATCGAAATCAGCCGCATCCAATGACGGAACTAGCTTTTGATCCGGCACAACCTCTGGCTGAGCAGAACCAATGCCGCCCCAGTTGCTACCACCGCATTACTTATAAGGTAAGGATATCAGCATGTTCACATGGGTGTGGGCCACACAAATAGGTACCCAAAATGAAAGCCTGGTAAATGGAAACAACGACTAAAACCTGTGGTCCCCTGGTGGGTTAATTTTGACCCATACCCACATTTTTCTGGCGGAAGGCAAAAGAGAAACGGCCCCAGTCTCTGACTTGGACAACGCCAGGTACTCCCGGGACTTGCTTTCTTGCACGGCAACCGCGCACATTTTTGCCTCGAGATGTCTGAATTCACTTTATGGCGAGAACGGTTGAATCAGGTGCATGCCCATGTGGCTACCATCACCAGAAGCCAAGGTGTCCCTATGCACCGGAATGTGCAGTCGCCATTTCCGCAGTTTGTGCGGGGGCAAAGGATTGCTGTTCCCAGCAGGACTGCGGTGCTCGCATTGGCCACAGCTAAGCGAACCTCAACGGCAATCAGCTGAAAAAAAAAACCTAGACAACCAACTGGAAACCACGGATTCAGAGTTCACCACGCCAGTTGCTGACCAATGGTCTTAAGGATGCAAACATCTCTCCTCCGCACAGCCGAAGAAACTAGCGCCGGCTTGAATCCAAGATGTCCCTCCACCGGGGATCGCGGGTATAGGACTGGCTGGGTCAAATCAGATCTGCTCCGATAGCTGGTCTTCTGTTTTTCTTGTGCAAGAAAAGAAAAAACAGTCAGATACAGCCAGACTCATTTTGAGGCCCATGGCTTTCGGGTTCTTTTGGGATGTGCATGACAACGATGCGACCCTGGCGACGGTCCGTCATAGATTCCGATCACAAAGGCCAGCAAGGCGCAGGCAGCCGCAAGCGCTGAACATGAACCGTGGCGGTCCTTCGCTGTCTTTTTTTCCAGGTGGTGTATCGGCCCAAAACCACTGGCAGCCATGCCGGCGCTGAATTCCCCAGAATGCGGTGCCTCCGCGGCATAAACAGAGATCCCCCCGGATAGTATGCGAGTATATAGCAAACAAAACTCTGGGATGCTTGGTCAGCGGAGTGGATCTTGGCTCTCACCACAAGCAGTTTTGCAACAAAAGCCAAGGATGTAAAATAAGAATCCGCTATGAAGTAATGTCCAAGCCAGGCGCTTGCGATTGTCTGAGGCCAAGCCGTTGCCGAAAGGAGATGCCCAATGTCGGTCGGACGAGCCGGAAATTCGCTGGCGTCAGATGGCGCGGCCGACTTTCCGGACAGAGGCAACGAATGTCACGAGGCGATCCGCGAACATCGTTCTGAGTGGCAGCTCTCATCATCTCTTTGAGTAATTGCGAGCGATCCTTCGATTTGGGTCAAACGCCAAACACATGGAAAGCTGTGGATGCACCATGATGCACCATCTTTTGAAGGAAGAATACGCTGCTCAGAAACGGATTCGCGTGAGCACGAAGGCTCCGCACCCGCGTCAAAAAGTCAACGGAGCAATCAGTAAGGCGTTTTACCAGGATTCCCCAGTATAGAGCCCAAGGTGAAGATACCAGATCGGTTCCACGGTCAAACCTCGCCCCTGCCCTGGCATCTCAAGGGTGAATCAAACACGAACCCCCCAGCAGGTTCAAAGGTCGGCTTTGGGCAACTGAGTCGCAGGTGTGACGACCGTGGCACGTGGCAAACAAAATCTGCAGACAAATCTGGCTAGCCCTAGTCAAAGGCCAAAGTCAAAGTGAGCGCGAAGGGTTGAATTTCCTTGCAGCGAGGAAACTGTGCGCCCAGGTGCCGGGTAGTCCAACACAGGCTCTATTGCTCTTGGGAGAAGGGTCAAGAGAATAGACCAATGCGGTTCATGATTCCATCTCTACGTCTGCCCTTTCAGAAACGTCTGTCTTTCGATTCCCTATCGTGTTCCCTTGGGAGAGCTGCTCTCACAGCAATCCTCCCTTGGCGCACCACTTGCAAAGGACATGCTTCCCTCCCTCCTACAGACTTGGAATCTGACAGCTTCCTTGAAGCCACAGGCTACTCGAAGCCTCAGGTTCCACAGTATCCGCGGGCTGCCAAATTGCACACGCGGACGCCCACGAGAAGTATACAAATTGGTGCAATGTCAGGCATCAGCTTTTGCGCCATGTTCAAACTTCGGGCAGGTCGCTACTGGCCTCATCATTCTACCATGATCAAAGTCACCCCCCAAGTGGTGGGTTAAAGGGAAACAACCCCATTGTCTGACTTTGATAACCCTCAGAAACCGTGAAAAACATATTTGGCCCCAGCGCTATGGCGAAGAAAAAAACACGCACCGAAGATTCTTAGATCTGCAACCTTGCAGTGAGCTCCACTCCTGCAAGTCCGAAAAGGTCTTGGAGACCTGGCTCGATCTCAGGCTGCAGCTGCGACAGCCGGTTGTCCTGGAGTCAAGCCGAACGCTTGGAGACATCCAGAAGCTAACCTGACGTTCGGGACCCGGTGCCTTTAAAAGGGACCTGGTCCAAACCAGGACCTATTGAAGGTTTCGAGGATCTTGGAAATCATTGCAAGGAAACATGATTTCTACATATCTGAGACTTCGAGGCTCACGCAAATAGGATCCGGCGGGCAATGCAAACCAGCCAAGCCCAGAAGCAAGCAAGCGGTCTCTGGCCACCCATTGACAATTCCTACAAGTATCACACTTCATTGGAGACAGTGTAACGCGTAAAACTTGTATGCGCATGCAAAACTGAACTTCAAACCGAATAAATCTGAGGCCCAACCTAGCTGTTGCAGCTTCCTAATTGGGACTGGTCGGCTGACAAGCTGCGTCACCATTCCCCTAATTCAAGTCCGGAGCGTGAACACACATATATTGTCCAAGAAATTCCTTTAAACTACTCCCTCCGACAGGACCCCAGCGCGTTGCTAGCTCCTTCAACGCCAGCGAATCAGCATCTCCAATTCCCCATCAACATGTGATCTGGATTGAAGTGATGCTACGCCAGACCCAGCACGTTGGACCACGTCAAATGTTGCAGCCCTTCCGAGATGCAACCGAGCTTCAAAGCGTTCGTAATATGACCGCAACCAAAACAAATGTCCGCAAAGTAACGGTTCCTGTGAGAGACATGTTTGCACGCGCCTGGTGTCATTAACACCTCGGCAATCAAGAACACATCAGATCTCAGGCCGCCTTCATTCACTTCATATCCTTGCCTTTTTACGGTGGCGATAGTGCAGCTGAGGCCATCTACATGGCTACTTGGAACATCAACAGAAGCCCAGCCCCACTTTCTTTCTGGGCGGCTCCCTTCTTGCCTCTCCACCTGCGGGGTTCATCGAGGTCCCCTCAACCCAAAAAACGTCCCAAAGAAACCGCGGAGAAATAACAACACAAAAAAACAAAACACGCAAACACACTATTATGGCCATGAATAGACCCCCCTGGAAAAATTGGTGGGTGGACATAGCTGCCCATGATATCCGCCCACTTCTGGGCAGGAAGGTTCCCTGTTCTTGGACCCCCCCAAACAAAAAAAACAAGTCCCAAAGAAACCGGAACAAAAAAGTCCAAGACGCCGCGGAAAAACAACAAAAACACCTTCGCTCGGATCTCCTGGATTCGCCGCAGCTTTCCCAGCTCCAGGCGGGTCTTGGAGCGCAAGGCTTGCAGCTCCCGGCCCGCCTTGGCACGCTCCGCCTCGGAGGGCGCAAGACTTTCATCAAATGTCCCTCCGGATGTCCTTTTTGGTCGCCGATTTTCCCGGGAAACGTCGGCTTTTCGGGGAAACAACGCACAGGTTTGGGCGTTCCATCAAGTCTCACATTGAAACAGCGCCCAACGCCTTGGGGTGACGCGATCGCATAGCCGCTGGGGAAAAAGCGTGACCCTTGAAACGGGTAGAGTCTGGCAGGATCTTGGCCTGAGGAATCCTCATGTCCTGCTCTTTTTCGGTAACAGCAGGGCTGATGTCCAATACACCACAATCAAGCAAGCAAGCAAAGCAGCCAGGCAGGGAAGCAAGCAAGGCAAGCCAGCAAGCCAGCAGGCAAGCAGGCAAGCCAGCAAGCCAGCAGGCAAGCGGGCAAGCAGGCAGGCAGGCAGGCAGCAAGCAAGAAGCAACCAATAGCAAAGCTTGTCTACCGTCCACCGTGTCCGCCACTTGTTCGACCCTGCCTCTGTAGTAGCTGCCATCATGTCCTGGCACACCCAAAGCCAAAGGACGCCGGTCAACTGAACCTGGGAATTGTCCCCGCCTTCACCACAAGTGGCAGGCACTCACTCTGCTTTATCTGCACGAACCGTCAAGCAGGATTCATTAATAAGAAAGGAACAACAGCTGGAAGGAAAACACGGAAACACCAGAACCCCCGTCGGGACTGTTCCACCCGGGACTATACTGGAGGGAAGTAAAAACAACTTTACGGGGCCAATGGCGATGGCAAATTGGTGAGTTTAGGGTTTAGCGTTTTGGCCTTGGCACTCAGGCCATGGATCGCTTCGGAGCACTTGTTGACTTGGTTTCGTGCTGTGGACTTAGGCTTGACATGCATCCGACGCATCCCTGCGAACGGACAGCGGGTCGACCAATGGGCACTGCATGCCATTTTGGGTGGGGCTTCCAGCGCCCCCCAACAACTGCTTCTTCCAATGTCCAAAATTCAAAGTACTGTCCAAAACGCACACATTGAGTGTTGATGTCCTGTTGGT